AAGTGCAGAAAACAGCCCAAGGCCACCTATGGGTCTTCAACACAGCGAGGAAATCCCGCACCCGGAGGCGGGCTTCAGCTGGCCCCTGAACAAAAATGTGTCCTACTTCAGTGAAAATGGACGTCACACCAAACTCCAAAACATCTAAATGAACTAAAATTGAAAAAACATTCAAGACTAACAAAGGCCAGAGGCTCCTGACTTGGGACAGGCGCAAAAATGCACTTTTCACCTGTGTCTAGCTGAAAGTTAACTGGTACGTCGTTGACGTTGATTGTTTCGGTCCATTCATCGGTATTCAATTCTGAATCATCAATTGTAGCAACAAAAAGTTCATCATCATCAGATTCACTGCATATGTCTAAAGTGTGCATTTTCTTTGATGATTTGTTTGATGACAGACATACGGACGCAAAGTGGTTATATTTATGGCATTTGTTGCACTGTTTCCCAAATGCAGGACATTTTCTACGCTCATGTTTACCTCCACAGTTTTTGCATTTGTTTGCGAAATTGGGTGATTGCCCCTTGTTATTTTGAGGTGGTCCCCTTTGTGGTGTGTATTGCTTGCCATACTTTTTACCTGATGTAAAATTATTTGATCTTGATCCTTGTTTGTTAAACATGTTGATGGTTTTATCTTCGCTTTCCATAGTTTTAAGTTGTGCCTTTGAAATTTCATAAGTTCTAGCGAAATTTATAGCCTTTTCTAACAAGAGATCGGACCCTTCAGTAATTTTTCCCGAACTTTGTGGTCTTTAGTTCCAAAAACAATGGCATCACGGACCATTTCCACCGACGTCGCATATCCACAATCTTTTACCAATATTTTAAGGTCGGTGAGGTATTCTTTGAAAGTGTCAATGTCTTTTTGTACACGGCTTGAAAAATTGTATCGTGAATAGATCTTGTTTGATTTAGGGCGGACGTGTTTTTCAAAGTTCTGATAGTACACTTCGAGTTTCTTTTTGTCATCTTCCGAGAGATCCCAGCTTGAATATATGTCCCTACCTTTGTTGCCTATCCATATCATTAGATAGTTACATTTTTGAAACCTATAACTATATGCCTTTTGGTTTTTTTTACGTACATTTGTGTCTCCTTGACGTATACCCTACATCTGTTTTTATTACGGTTAAAATATGTAAGTTCGTATAATCAAATTGTATTTTAATTGCACGTCTTTCATTCTGAAGTGTTGAATATGCAAAACGATTATATAACAGTATCTAAAGCAGCATTCATATTGTATTTTCTTCTTTTTTAAATGATTTTCATAAATGTCTCTTACTACGAACTTATATGCTTGGTTAACCATTTGGTTACATGGAATTAAGAATCTAGTCGTTATATATAGGTTTTCATAATTTTTATGAGTGAATATATTAAGCATTCTTTTGTATGATGGTTTTAAACCTGTGTAAAGATAAATATATGCATGTTTCAATATTATTTTTTTTTGTAGGTTTGTCCTATAACTGTGGCTTTGAACAAGGACAAGAGTGTATTTTCCAAAATATTCTAGGCGACAATTTTGACTGGACTTTAGGTCATTCAGTAAGTATTATTCAGAATATGAACTAAGGTTATGTAGGAGTATGTAAGATTCCATATAACATTAAGATATTTCCTCCAAATTTGTATAAACGATCGAAGATGAATGTCTGCCTTTGTCTCTTAAATAAAACAAATAAAAAAGTTGATGAAATTGTGATCAACATTTTTTAATTCATTTTGAAATATCAGAAAATCAGTACAATTTTTAACCTTATTTTGTACTTAATTTTCCGTCGTGTTGTTCATGTAAGTGATGTCTGATTCGGTAGGTCACATTCGAAGGAAAGAGGACGGGATTGTAATTATCTGTCGTCATCATTAATTTTTACACTATATGTGATATGGAATGAAGTGATGAAAACATAATCAAAAGAGAAGGAAAAGTAATCATTAATTATTTGATTTCTTAATAAGTTAAACCTTGACCTTTTGTAACAGTTCACTCTAATGACTTCTTACGATTTATTTGTATTCGCAGGTTTTTTGGTCTACTAGTATAAAAAGATATTACATTGTTTTTTTGTCAATTGTGAACTGATACCAGTAGACATGTCTTTAAAATGACGACTACAAAATATTGAAAAAGATGTTACTAAATTGTAAAACTTGTGTCTGATCCATTTGTCGTTTTGAACCAAAAAAATATGTTTAAACTAAAAAAAATAGAAACTAAAGCTCGAATTATTTCGTCCAGAAAACACATGTTAACCAACAGCCAATTTACTAATGGTAGGAGTTGTAATATCTCTCTTGCCAGTAAGTTTGATTCATAAACAGTCCATATCAAGAACCCCCCCCCCCCCCACACACCGACATAGATTATCTTGGTCGTATTTGGCATAAATATTTGGAATTTCGGTTTTTAATGCTCTCCAATCTCGTTTTTTGTATTTACCCTTACAACTAATTTGATTCGAGAACCTCTGATGAATCTGAAGACAAAACGACCGTCGGGCGAAACGAATTGGTATCTTGGATGAGCTTTAGTAAACCATTGGGTTGGTGTAGCTGGTAGACGTTTCTTCGTCGATGGTTTTACCAGTCCATTAGTCAGCATCTTTATGTTGACAAACAAAATCCTTTATATTTTTACTTTGTACATGTACTGTTTTTAAAAGAGAGGAAAAAGATACCGAAGGATTAATCAAACTCATAAGTATATTTTAAGTTACAATGCCAAAGCAAAACGAAAAACGACGAAAAGACAAGTAATAAAAGTGTAGTTATTCAAAACACTAAGGGTTTTCTACCCCCGGGCAAAATGAACTTAGTCGTATTATACACAACTTTTCAGAATTTTCTGTTTTTGTGCTCTTCAACTTTGTATTTGATTTTGTCTGCCTACTGATGTCATTCGATTCGAGCCCTACTAATGAGTCTCATATAGACAATGGCGTACAAAATTTTAAGTCCAGTATCTTTGAGGAGTTTTTCAAGAATTCTGATTTTTGGCGTCATTTTGATTTCTTAATGACAAACTGGATCCCTGTATCCTTAAACTGACAATGTGTATCTGTTTGACATTTACCAAACAACGGTCTGTATCCTTATGTTCCTTATTCAATCCTACATACAGAAATAAATGAACTTTTACTATTTATAACATTTATCATAACCTCGATATGGTTATTGTCCCCATTTCAACATGTGAGCATTTAAAAGCATATCAATTTTGTTATGTCCATAAGGCGAATACACTTTTGAATCATCTGTTGGAATGGGTAATTTGACCTTATGATGTCTTTTGATGTTTATGTGTATCTTGTTGTCCTTTTTCACATAGACCTGAAATCTCATTGTATACATTCAAACAAATTATATAATAAATTTGTTTTGCATGCACACGTATAAAAATTGTGGTTTTTATCCAACGCAATCATAGGTTTGAACGTTGTTTTCAATTTAGACTTGTTTATATTTTTTCGTTTGTATTATATTTGCCTTTGGGTTTATATGATCCGTTCATCCTTTTTCGACTCTTCAAAATTCAAGAGTCTATCCTAAATTGAGGTAAATTATAATGGCCTTCCAAATACCGTTTCGATTCCAAACATCACTGAAGAGACATTGATTGTCGAAATCCGGATATGGTGTACTAATTTTTGCACCTCATATTTGCGGTATACCATCTTTTCCGCAAGTTTATTGTTTTCTGTTTGGTATTACATTAATAATTTTTAAGATCCATTTTGTTACATCTTGTGGTACGTTTATTTGGCAATCGCCAATGGCAGTCAGCAGGGTTTAAGAACATCTGTTGTTCGACCTGTTAGTCAAATGCGTTTTGTTAAAATATACTTTTTCACTTTTTTGGTCTTTTGGAAAATGTTGTTTGTGCTGTATTTAGACCCCTCAACCAAGAAATTTGTTTTGCATGCACACGTATAAAAATTGTTGTTTTTATCCAACGCAATCATAGGTTTGAACGTTTTTTTCAATTTAGACTTGTTTATATTTTTTCGTTTGTATTATATTTGCCTTTGGGTTTATATGATCCGTTCATCCTTTTTCGACTCTTCAAAATTCAAGAGTCTATCCTAAATTGAGGTAAATTATAATGGCCTTCCAAATACCGTTTCGATTCCAAACATCACTGAAGAGACATTGATTGTCGAAATCCGGATATGGTGTACTAATTTTTGCACCTCATATTTGCGGTATACCATCTTTTCCGCAAGTTTATTGTTTTCTGTTTGGTATTAAATTAATAATTTTTAAGATCCATTTTGTTACATCTTGTGGTACGTTTATTTGGCAATCGCCAATGGCAGTCAGCAGGGTTTGAGAACATCTGTTGTTCGACCTGTTAGTCAAATGCGTTTTGTTAAAATATACTTTTTCACTTTTTTGGTCTTTTGGAAAATGTTGTTTGTGCTGTATTTAGACCCCTCAACCAAGAAATTTTTTTTGCATGCACACGTATAAAAATTATTGTTTTTATCCAACGCAATTATAGGTTTGAACGTTGTTTTCAATTTAGACTTGTATATATATATATATATATATATATAGAGAGAGAGAGAGAGAAACCTTAAAATTTTACCAACAAATATTCTTGTTAAAAAACAGGGTCCAACAAAGAACAGAAAAACAGGCCCTACTAATGCATACTCTGGGAGCCAGTATGCGTATATTGAAGTATCTAGAATAAAAATCAATGATTTGGCAGTTTTGTCCTCTATTAATACAGTGCTTCCCGGTAAGTAATTTCACAATGAAATGGTTTGTAAATAATCGTATCTGGATATCTCAGTGTTTCAGTAAACTTTTTCAACAGCATTGCAACTAGTTAGTCAAAGCAGTAAAGTTTGTTTTCATCTTAAATCAAAAACTGTTCAATTCACATTGAATTTTTTTTATTTTTAATGTATCCATTAATTTGATGATAGTATAAACTTAATGTTATACATCTGTAAATTGTTACTTACTTTTGTTGATTGTAGCTTCTACATTTTGTCTACGATTTTACTATCACATGTATGGACGTCATATTGGATCGCTTTCCGTGTTTACACAGGAAAGAGACACAGGAACTTGGTCTTTAGATTGGGATCTGTCTGGCAATAAGGGAAACCAATGGTACCTTGCAAGTGTGGACATTCCTTACCACTTCGACCTTGTTGTATGTATTATTAGAATATATTTTATTAATTTTTATTATTCTGTGCCCAGTAAACACTAGCATGAGATTCACAATTTTAATGAATACCTGCAATTATTTCTCCTGCAATGCGCGTCGTCAGTATATGTACTTGTCCGTTCACCTTTTTACACCTCGTACAAATCAATCTATAAAGCATGATTGACTTTGAAAAAAAAAATAAACAATACTAATATCGATTGAATAAATGTCCCTGTTGATTTTTTTATAATGGTTAAACTTATATTGAGATATTTTACTTACTCAACCTTTTTTGAAGCCATCCAGCTTCTTCGAATTATAAACGTTTTGGTTCTGATAAAACTTTGTTTGCAAAAAAAAAGTTCAAATTGGTAAGAATGCAAAATTACTTTTGTAAAATTTTATTGATCTGGAAATTGCATTAGACCTGTCAAAAAGTGAAATGTTCTTTTTTCGATGTTTATGATTATTTTTGTCTCTCACTGTCAGTTGTGTTTGATTTCATATGACCCGATTTACCTCGAATTATACAAACACTACTTACATGTTATGTTATCTGCATTTCCTCCAAGATGTTAAAAACAAAAATAATAGCTAACAACTTTTGGGCATATTGTTATTTTCAGGTTGAATTTGAAGCTTCAAAGGGAGCAAGGAAGAGCAAAGGTGACATCGCAATTGACGAAATAACGCTCACGAACAATCCATGTTAGCCGTTGAATAGAAACAAGTGCTTGTAATGTAGTTAAAACACCCTTTAGACTTCGATACACTAATTAATCACTTCTGGGGGGATGCCCAAGATAATCAATTGTGCAGTCTTTTTTCATTAATTTTCCATATTTATTAATATATGTGTTCCGTTACTATTTTTAGAAAATTCTGTTTAATATAAATGCGTATGAATGGAAGGTAAAGGCATTGGGGAGGCACATAATTAAGCCAAAAAGTCACCAATTTGGAAAAAAGTATTTTTTAAGTAGAATGTAGAAAAAAGATTAAAATTAAGAAGTACATTTGAGTATTCTTACTTACTTCCAACAATTAATGATCAAAATGACAAAAATAAGGATTTTTAAAATTCTATTTTATGCATTTTCAGTTCAAATTCTGCTTATTGATTTATATAATACAACTGCAGTTATGCTATTCATTGATTCTAGTGTGACATTCTGACACATACCTTTGAAATCTGCTATATAATGTTTTTTGTCAATTTTAATATCTTTTTTAAAATAAATATCTTTTGCATCATTTTCTTTTGTTATTGTAGTTTCATTCATACGGATAAGTTGTATTCCCTCGCAAAAAGACATTAGTACTGCAGCCGCCTGACCTTCATAAGAATGTAAGCCCATTTCATACTTCTGTTATATATATATTAAACATTTGCCTTTGGCAATTCCTTATTTTACTATAATAGCCCGGTTTAAGGTTTAATACAATACTCTCGGACATTTCGCAAAGGATTGTTCTGAAGAAACAAAACTTCTTGTCCATTGAATGATCTTTTCTGACTAATAATTAAAGAAACTTTTTTCTTAAGGTCATTATTTTAACTATTGTTAATCAATCTGTAATTTGGAAGGATTAATATAGTAAAAGCCATTTGCAACCACACCTGGAATTGATGATACATTTAATCAAAGTACTGAAGTACTGAACATCGGATGACCGCAGGTTCTTGTGTATGGTCAAAAGCACATGTCACAGAAACAGATCACATCTCTATACCTGAAACTGAGGTTAATTTACAGAGATTTTTTTTTCTGATACAAGTTTCTGCTTGGATGATGAATAAATGACAGGAAATTCAACCTCACCGTAATAACTATTATATTGTAGTGATACAAATCAGTATACCTTAGACTATTATACTAATATAATAATAGTTCCTGAGAATACACTGGTTTGTTGTTATATATTATATTAATATTACGGTTGCATGTATATATAATTTTCATCTATTTGTATATCATTCTATTCTACTATTATTATAGTGCAGTGCAAGTGCATGGTGGACACTCTTCTGAAAAAAAAATCAAAGCCTTAAAGGCTGTAAAAGCAATTGCTGCCATGTTAATGTTTTGTGGACTTTTATTTTTCATCCATATATATAAGAATTAAACCTGACAGGACAGGAGTGTTGACTTATGAGAAGCAAGACGGTTTTAACTTTATATCAATAAAAGACTTTAGCAGGAAATCATTTTAAATATGTTTTATATTTCACAAGGAGACAACAAGTTTACCAGGCTAAAGTTGGGGTTAATTATACATGTGCTGAAACATATAACTAAAAAAAAATCATTATGGATTATCCCCTGGTAGTGTTTGTAACTGGGCAATAATTTCCTTTATTGATTTAATTTTAACAATTTTCATAATTAATTTAGATTAACCATTCAGTTAAAACATTTCAACTTTCCAGACGCAAATGTTGAAAAACGGGCAAGAAATAAAATATCTTACAAGACATAAACATGTAAAAAATAAATATATATTTCAGCTTACTTAAAATATTTTCAAAATGTTACTTTCACATCATTTCTTAAAACTAAGTCCCAAACATAATTGCTCAGTTGATATGTGTCATCCTCATGCGATACGAGATAACTATAATTCTGATGCAATCACGAAAAGGGGGGTCATCACAAACAAACATGACATTAAATTGTCATTATACAAACAGCTCTATGTTGCTTAGATATTTATCAATTTTCAGGAAACATGTGAAATAAATTTCAGGTCCATTTCATTATAGTGCCTAACAAGATTGTGTGAGGTAGACGAAATTGACCTTAAAACGATCGTATTGTCTTTTGATGTCCAAAAATAGGCAGATCGGACATATAAGGACTTTATCTAATGACTACATAAATTTGGGATTTATTAATATTATAATATTCTAATGAAACTGAAAATTGTATTTTTTTGTTAGGATAAACAACAATTTTACCTGGCGTAGCCGTGCGTAAAATGTTTTTCTGCATTTATCTTCGAAAAATGGCGTATTCAATAGAATAGAACGTTAATACAGTAAACTTTCTCTTTTTTCTCCGCAATAGGCTATCAAAAATAATTTATCTAATGTGTATGTGGAAAATTATGTGAAAAGATAAAAAGTGGCAATTGTTACCTTTCATACCTTTAGTTTCATTCATATGCCGTTATTATTGTTGTTGTTACCAATTATGTAAATCAATTGTATCTGATTTTATGCCCTTTATGGGCCCTGTAATTTGGAAAATAAAAAAAAAATCTATTCATTGATAAAACGTAATATGGACTGGTCCAGTGTCCAGTTTGCAGGTCATTTAATTTATTGTACACAATCATGCACGCTCTGATTTAATCAATATACTCGTACGAAAAAGCATGAACAGTTTGAAGGTAATCTAATAATAACTTAATCCAATCAAATTGCATAAGATTCAATAACAATGTCCAGTCCACATCATAATGAGTAATAGGGGAAAAATGGGTAGGGAGAAAATGACAGATATTTCAAGTTAATATTTATGCAATAACGAATTAAAATTTGTCAACCAAAAGTTTTGCTACAATTTCAAAAACATGTCGTTCTGTATGGGTATAGTTTTCGGATCTTTCATTAGCGTATTTAAGGCTATAAAAAGTTCGGGCTTCAAAAGTTCACACAATTATTGACTTTATACAGAAAATTCGTCCTTGTAAAACATTTAATAGTTCACAAATGATACGCGATTTTAAAGTAAAATTATTTCTTAAAACACTGCAAAAAATTTCATTTATATTGATAAAGTGGTATCGTCATCAAGTGCGTTGAAATGAACAGTGGTATAGCAAACATCAAATTCCCTCACAAAAATGTTATCACACACTATAGTAAGGGGAGTCAGTTAAGTTTGTTCATTTTTAGATTACAGGTAATCATTTGACACTACGTTTACAACCTGTGTGACCTGTGTAGTGATTTTGATTTTACGATAAATTCATGAATGAATGAACGATAATTTTATGAATGAACATGAGCACCTGACCTCTTTCTTAAACACCAATTAAACATATAAAACCGTATTTAATAAGGAGATAATTCAGTCAAATTTTCAGTACTAAATCAACAACTGAAATGATTCCATTTTTTGATGAAACATCGTACGAACGGAGAACGGAATTGCAGGTATAAAAATGCACTTTTTTCCCTTGTAATGACCGCGGATCTATAATTTTTATAGATCGGTTGAAATCCCAAAACTAATTTGCATAATGGAAATTTAGGCGATAGCAATACATCGGATTGACCTCAAGGTCATCCTCTGTAAAAATCGCTTCAAACACATAGTTCCCGTTTCTGTACACAGAACGATTGTTTTCCGGAATACATGTTACCTTCATCCGGTATGCTCGAGAAAAAAAGTTTAGAAAAAATGTTTTGATAAGAGACCTTACCGGAATTAAACATAGGCTTCATCGTGAGTATAAATAATATATTTGACCACCAAAATTCATATTTAATTTCTGAGAAATGCTGTGAATATATTTCAGACACATCTTTGATTTACCTTTACTTTGATTTTATGATCCCCATTTTAGATTTATTGCTAGCTTTCACAAGAGATGGCTGCACCACTACTAAAACATTTATAAAAAACATTAACGGTGCCAACTTTTATGCACCAGTTACGCATTTCGACAATTAGTGTCTCTGACGTGATGCTCGAAGTCGAAATATTTGAAACATTTGAAACTCCAAAACGTAATAAAAGGTTGGAAGAGCTTTTCTTGATTAACCTTCATCAGGACTGCTTAAGGATGTTAGCTACTCTGTTTCAAAATAACAAGCTTTTTAAAAGACTGTTATAAATTGATAGTATATGATTAAAGAAACTAAAAAACCAGAAATTTTTTTTTAAAAGCACTACATGGATAAAACCAGAGGAATCCGAACATCTGACAAAAATTCAAAAACCCAAGGAGCGAACATCCTTAAAACCAAACATTTGAGAGGCTCGTTCGGGGGATGCTCTATGAACAAAACTGACTTTAAGACAAATACATCAAAGGTCATCTGACAAAAATATGATAATGCTTTATTTTGTTCCATCTGACAAAGATATGATAATGCTTTATTTTGTTCCATCTGACAAAGATATGATAATGCTTTATTTTGTTCCATCTGACAAAGATATGATAATGCTTTATTTTGTTACATCTGACAAAGATATGATAATGCTTTATTTTGTTCCATCTGACAGAGATATGATAATGCTTTATTTTGTTCCATCTGACAAAGATATGATAATGCTTTATTTTGTTCCATCTGACAAAGATATGTTAATGCTTTATTTTGTTCCATCTGACAAAGATATGATAATGCTTTATTTTGTTCCATCTGACAAAGATATGATGATGCTTTATTTTGTTCCATCTGACAAAGATATGATAATGCTTTATTTTGTTCCATCACAAGATTGAGGTATTAATGGACAATAGTAGTCTTTCTTATGAAAAACTCGTTGAAAAATAAAATCAAAAAGCTAAGTACTTCCTGAGATATAGTATTAACAAAAAAAGGATTATGAAAATCTCTTATATTTATATTGGATACCTAAACTTGGTCGTCAAGATGTTCTGACCACCATTCTTTCTACAGTAAAAGGTGGCTTTAAGAAATATTGTGATGAAGTTTATTCAGATATGGATTGTTAATAATTCTTAAGATCTACTCAAATCTTCCATCTTTACAATTTTGCTGAAATATCAAAACCTTTGATTTTCTACGTTTTACACTACTATTCTCATGTTCAATTAAAAGATTGACTACGTCGCCTTATTAAACAGAGCTCTCTATACAAAAATGAGAATCGTAGATTCAAAATCCCTGTTTTATGTCTTGCAAAATCTTACTTTGTGAAGAATAACACTGATCGCACAACAAATACGCCGAAGACGGTTTTATCAAAATGCTGAACTTTTTGATCGACAACATATTTGTTGAGTTTGGTAGATTGATATATCAGCAGACAGTCGGTATCCCAAAGTCACTCCTAAACCACATGTAATTGAGTGCCTACATTCATTTGTCCCAAATGAACTGTGATTAAGGATACTACCGAAAGCAGGAGGTCTGCTTATTATATTGACCTATATAGACACAGATTGACCGCTTCAAACTAATATCCATGACAAACGTGATAATTCAAACTTTCCAATTATCAACTTCCCATTTTGTAGCAGTAATATACCCTCTTCTCCATCAAATACCGTGTACA